TAATGTCAACATCACAAATTTTTACTAAATGCATATGAAAGTATATACGGCACTTATAACATAAATACAATTTTTAAAATGTTTGCGGTCTGTATGTCTGTTTGTTCCGGCTAATCTCCGAAACGGCTGGACCGATTTTGACGGGACTTTCACTGGCAGATAGCTGATGTCTAAGGAGTAACTTAAGCTACTTTTATTATAGAAAAAGGATTAGGGGTCTGCGCAAAAAAAATTAAAACCCCATATAACACGCGGCCTAAGTGGCGGGGAAAAGGTAGTTGTTATATAATATGAGTATATCTGACCTGTTCTTTTGTTAAAGTTCAGCGGACGAAGTCCAAATAAAAGATATTATACAATATATATATATATATATATATATATATATACAATCATTAGTATACAATCATTTTCTATGATTTGCAGGCAAGTTTAGATGCTTTTCTTGAAAATATTTTTACTTGAAATGTATGTAGATACTTAACACTATTAACTATTACTCGTAGAGCATGTATTGCTCACTTATTATTGACAAAATTATGTACTAAATAATAAGTACTTTCAAGAGCTTTGATTTGCGACATTTATTATTTATCTTTATTCGGTTAGAGCCGGAATCAGTTATTAGGTTTTACGGACAGGAAATTCTAAGTAGCCGCCCGGATTCAAGAAGTTAGCGGTGTTTCACCCCTGAGCCTCGTTTACGAAGCGAAGCGCATACGCCTTTACATGCAATTGCCGTCACATCAAACTATAAGAGTGAGGAAATAGAGAGTGTACCTTTACTTGATCACCCACTTGTGCACTATAATTTTATCCTTCGCAAACGTCTAGGTGCACGTTAAAACTGGCACTGCGACCGAAATTCGGACTAGAACACATTATTATTTACATTGGCTACAAGGCATTCAGCCGAAAATGATACATGTTTTTATACAAACGAGCCACCTAGTGGTAAGTGGTTGCTGTGGGCCATCGACATCGACGACGACGACGATACGTTGTCAGCCGTGAAGACTAAGATGGAATGCCTCGTTTCCAGTAAAAAGGGTCTCCGGTTCTCTACCCTCACCATACGAAACACAGCAGTATTATGCTGCTATTTTACGCTGGTATTCTGTAAAAGCTTGGTCCTTCCCCGGTCGAGTTGACCCGTTCGTGCTACAACTATACTACTAATATAGCTGCAGCATGGCTACCACATAAACTACAACATAAAACGTATAATATATACAATGTACAATGTATAAACTTGTCTACAATATATTGACATGCCACATAGCGAATTTTTTGGGAGATTTGACGACAGCTTGCGACAGATGATGACGATAGTATTCCAACACGCATAAATAACTTTAGCTTTATCGTAGCACTTTTCATTGTATGTGTTACCGGCAATTCATATAATTTTGTCCTCGTAAAAAATACCTAGTCGTTCCATGTAGTGCTGGGCTTACTCAGGCAATGTATAAAATATGGAATCTATCGTTTACCATGACATACGTTTCCTAGGTGTTGTATGTAATACCTAGATATAATGTATGGAGTGCCAAGAGGAGATCAGGTAAAGTATAAAATGCGATCAAATAAAACATGTTTTCTTTACTGAAAATCAACTTTACTAAGAATTGCAGTCAAATTTGACTAAAAATTGTTTACAAAGGTAACATAAAGGAATTACAAACAAATAGTTTAATTAAAAGTCAATCATCGTTCAATTAACGAATTAAAATAATATTAAGCAATATTAAACACGAAAACTTAATTATGTTAGGTTAGGTTTGGTCATGTCTTGACTGGGGACATCATTTTCATAAATTAGAATTTGTTTAAACTAATAAATACTTTAAAATAATAATAAACTAATAATAATAAATAAATGAGCTTCTACAAGGCTCTACATGAGCCTTTCGTAGACACAGTTGCCTCCCTCCACTGGCTACATTTTAATGACCTCTTCGGGCAAACCGAGGGTTTTGTCTTTGCAATACAGGATCAGGTTATTAAGACCAACAACTATCGGAGATACATCCTAAAGGATAGCACCGTCGACATCTGTTGAGCTTGTCGCCATCCCGGTGAATCACTTAGGCATTTGATCTCCGGTCGTTCGGCGCTTTCTAACTCTGAGTATTTGCACAGACACAACCTAGTAGCCAGGATTCTGCACCAGGAGCTCGCTCTGAAATATGATCTCGTGAATCGGAAACTGACTTATTATAAGTACTTGCCGGAAGCCGTGCTCGAAAATGACCGCACCAGGCTCTACTGGGACCGGGCCATCACCACAGACAGGACTATTCTTGCGAATGAGCCTGATATTGTGCTGATGGACCGGGCACAGACAAGGATATTTTTGGTCGACGTCCATATGACAAGAACCTCGTGAAAGCCAAAGCAGATAAGAGAACAAAATATATGGACCTGGCTCACGAGGTGACCGACATGTGGGATGGTCGGCCGACCGAAAATATCCCTGTATTCCTGTAGTCGTTTCTGCGAACGGGTTAATCCCAGTTAGCCTCTTGGATCATCTGAGGCGACTGGGACTCCGTGACGGACCGGTCCAAGCTCAAATGCAGAAGGCGGTGCTCCGCAATACCGCCTGCATCGTCCTCCGGTTTCTTTCCCCTTCCCCCTAACCCTAGGCCGTTTGGTGTCCCCTGCCGAAGGCTTCCATCTGGTTGGGTTTTTATTTATTTATGTATTTAATTTATTTTATTAATATTTATGTATGTTTATTATTTTCGTTTACAATTATATATTTATACAACCCACCCAGATGAGAAAACTTTATATATACCCCATAAATAAATAATAAACTATAAAAAACTTTAAAAATATTTACTGTCTTGACGTATTTTTACTACACACTAGCGATCCGCCCCAGCTTCGCACGGGCGACTTCTGCATCTTGACAACATCGTCACCTACCGGAACCGGAATTGATGTTAAGAAAACGGTAAACTTATGGGGTATTTCCGTTAAAGTTATTTTATCTATAATAGAATAATAGCACCTTATCTAGGCACTATATTTAATACAAGCGTTGAATGTGGTGTGTTTCATACTTATATTTAAACCTGGTAGTACATTAGACCCCGCCAATTTTAAACCAATTTCTGTAATACCAACATTTAGTGCAATTTTTGAAAAAATTATTTTAGATCAGATGTTAAGTTTCTTTAATATTAATAAATTGCTACATAAAAATCAATTCAGTTTTACAAACGGTCGCTCGACAACTGACGCTGGAGTTGAGCTTATTAAACATATTTTTTGTGCATGGGAGAATTCAGAGGATGCTTTTGGTATATTTTGTGACCTTTCCAAGGCCTTCTACTGTGTTCACCATGAGACATTAATCAGGAAGCTACAGTACTATGGTGTCAAGAACACAGCGCTTAAACTTATTATTTAAGTAATAGAAAGCAGAAGGTTATTATCAATGGTAAAAGATCTTCCGTCTCACCTGTACTAATGGGTGTCCCTCAGGGCTCGATTCTCGGCCCATTCCTGTTTCTAGTGTATATTAATGACTTACCTTCCCTTGTAGGATATAATCATGATATAGTATTATTTGCTGATGATACTTCGTTGATTTTTAAACTTAAACATCAATCATTTAAATGTGACGAAGTGAATAATGCTATATCAAAATTAGTGCATTGGTTTAACGTTAATAATCTACATTTAAACGGAGATAAACTAATTGTGTTAAATTTACAACAACGAATGTTAAAAATCTGAATACCAATGTGTTTTTAAATGGGGAGGAACTGAGCCCTGTGGTATCCACTGTTTTTCTTGGCATCACTCTCGACGCAAAGCTTCAGTGGGGCTCCCATATATCCAAATTAGCAAGCAGATTAAGTTCTGCAGCCTATGCTGTAAAAAAGATAAGAGGTCTCACTAGTGTTGAGACAGCTAGATTAGTTTATTTCAGTTATTTACATAGCATAATGTCTTATGGGATTTTGTTATGGGGAAATGCGGCGGATTCAGTAACTATTTTTGTTTTACAGAAGAGGGCCATTAGAGCTATTTACAATCTAAAACCGAGAGAGTCTCGTAGAGATAAATTTAAAGAAACAAATATATTAACTTTGGCCTCTCAGTATATTTATGAAAATTTAATGAATGTTCACAAAAATAAAGGTATTTTTAGTGAAAAAAGTGATGTACATTCTGTAAACACTAGGAACAAACACAAGCTAGTGATACCTGTTTCTCGACTCCACAGAGTATGTAATTCATTCTTGGGGCAATGTATACGCTATTACAACAAGGTCCCGGAAAGTGTATAGGCTCTCTCTATTACCATGTTTAAATTTTTTTTTAAGCTGAAACTATATAAAAAGGGTTATTATAGTATACATGAATACATAGCTGATAATAACTGGGAATGAGGTGATCGCTTCCAAGCAGTTTCTAAAATAAATTTTGTAAATAGTTTGTAATCATTTATATTGTAAAATTTATTTTTTTTAAAAAGTCCCGCTGGGTTTCTTGCTGGTTCTTCCCAGAACTGAGGGTGTTTTTTCGAACCAGTGGTAAAGTAAAAAATTACTTTCAATAAGAATTACACATGTAATGTATATTGAATAAAAATTATTCTATTCTATTCAAATATAAATCAGGGACCCATTCAAATACATACAAAAAAATCATCAAAATCGGTCGAGCCGTTTTTGAGTTTTAGTGAGACTAACGAACAGCAATTGCTTAATATATAAAGAAATAATATTGTATTACTAGCTTTACAAATTCCCACACAGCGATGTTTTAACCTAGTTTAATAGCCTTGCTAGTTTTAATTTACCGTTTCACGAAAACACAACTTTTGACCATTATATTTAGTAAAGCAAAATACAAAATGATTAAATTTTCTTTACCTTACAGATTGACGGTGAATTGAAAAAGAAGAAGAAAATGGGGACGCTGATACTAAGATAAAGAATATCCCGGCAATAACAACGTGAACACTCAAAACCATAAAAATGAGTCCAATCAACGATGCCTCTAACTCTACTCTTAACATCTCTGGACCTGTAGATCCTACCCTAGTGTTTGGACCGCAGAGGGATTCTTTATACATAGTTCTACCAATTACAATAATCTACGCACTGATATTCATAACAGGGTTAATAGGAAATATTTTCACATGCATAGTTATAGTTCGTAATAAAAGTTTGCAAACAGCGACGAATTATTACTTATTTAGTCTAGCGATATCAGATCTCCTTCTATTAATAAGTGGAATGCCACAAGAAGTCTACTCTATCTGGTCAAAATGGCCTTATATATTTGGCCATTCCTTCTGTGTAATACGAGGCTTGGCAGCAGAAACTTCTACCAACGCAAGCGTACTTACGATAACGCTATTCACTATAGAAAGGTATTTAGCTATATGTCATCCATTTGTTTCGCATAAAATGTCCAAATTATCACGAGCTATAAAACATGTCATTCTTTTATGGATTGCTTCATTTATATTGGCGCTGCCTCAAGCATTACAGTTTGGAATTCGAAATTACGAAGGAGTTATTATGTGTCTTCAGACACGAATAATAATCCCACATTCTTTCGAAATATCTACGTTCTTTTTCTTTTTCGCTCCTATGATTGCTATCACCGTTCTGTACTCTCTTATTGGATTAAGATTAAAGAGATCCCATATACAAAGAGATAATCGACATCGTCAAAATTTAATGAGGCATGTACCTACAATAGAAAAAGTACGCCAGAAAAACTATCAATCGACAAAAAGGGTTATTAAAATGTTGGGTAAGTAGTTTAGAGTATAGAAGAGTATACAAAAGATTTATTGGCCGTCATGAAAAACAGCTTAATTTTAAGTTTTTATTGGCAACATTACAATTTCGTGTTTGAGGTACAATACTTGCCATTTCATTCTTTAAACTTTATAACATAAACTCTCACACCTGCCACCCACAGCAGTAGACAGAGACTATGGACTTATATGTACATTTGGTACGGTCCTGACACACCTCTCGCTTCTTGCACATCAATAATAAAACGCGTGAATGCTCGTCGATTAAGGATAATATATCGCCAATTTGGTCAATAATAGTATTTATTTAGTACATTCGTTTTATTTTATTTGTGCTAGGAATAAAGTAAGGAGTTATTCGTATCATACTATGCGTATTTGTCTAATTATTTTTGATTTTTCAACCAACCATGCAATATTAATCCAACTTTCAAAACTGTGATGACAATTTATTGACAATAGGTTTCTGATCACATAAGATGTATATTATTTTGCTTGCTCAGTTTACTGTACTCGTAAAACTAAGTCAATAGCATATTTTATGGGTCTTTCAATGTTTTTTTTTTTGAAGAAATTTGATAACGAAACGGTTTGTACTGGGTTTACGGAAATTTTTAAGCAAGCGCCTAACCTCTGAATCTGAGCTACTAATAAGCAAAATAATGTTATTTAGAAATACATTAAAATTAAAAGAAAGAGAAGATATTATTACACATTCGGTTGAAAGTGAATGTGAAATGACTGTGCAGAAATGAATAAACATACAATTAAACAACAAAGTTACATTTAAACCTAATTTTTTTCACAACATTTAGAGTCAATTTTCTCCTTAACATTTGTATTGTGTTTTCGTAGTACATCATCATCATCATCATCATTACAGCCCTTCACAAGTCCACTGCTGAACATAGGCCTCCCCCAAAGAATGCCACAAAGCACGGTCCTGAGCCACCTGCATCCATCGACTTCCTGCATGTCTTACCAGGTCGTCACTCCATCTCGTGGGGGGACGCCCTACACTTCGCATACCGGTACGAGGCTGCCACTCGAGAACCTTTCTTCCCCATCGGTTGTCGGTTCTTCGAGCTATATGGCCGGCCCATTGCCACTTCAGCTTACTAATCCGTTGGGCTATGTCGGTTACTCTGGTTCTACTGCGGATATCCTCATTCCTAAGTTTATCACGCAGAGAAACTCCGAGCATAGCCCTCTCCATAGCTCGCTGAGCGACCTTGAGCTTCCTCATCCGGCCAGCAGTGAAGGACCACGTCTCAGTTCCGTATGTCATCACTGGCAACACGCACTGGGTGTACAGTCTCGTTTTCAAGGTTTGAGGTATACCTGACGAGAAGATGTGCCGTAATTTCCCGAACTCTGCCCAACCGAGTTGAATCCGTCGATTGACCTCTCGGTCGAAGTTGGACTTACCTAGTCGGACTATTTGTCCCAGGTAAACATACTCGTCAACAACTTCGAGCTTAGTGTTCCCAACAACTACCGGCATAGGTGTGACATGGACATTAAACATGATCTTTGTTTTGTCCATGTTCATCTTAAGACCTATCCGTTGGGAAACACTATTGAGGTCATTGAGCATAGTGCTTAGGTCCTCCAGCGATTCTGCCATAAGGACTATATCGTCGGCAAATCGAAGGTGAGTGATGTACTCGCCATTGATGTTGATACCGTATCCTTTCCAGTCCAGAAGCTTGAAAACGTCTTCCAATGCAGCGGTGAAGAGTTTCGGGGATATGACGTCACCCTGTCTTACACCTCTCTGCAATTGGATAGGTTTCGTACTCTGGTTCTGTACTCGGATAGTCATCGTAGCCCTACTGTACAAGCACTTCAACACTTCGATATACCGACAGTCAACTTGGCACCGCTGAAGGTACTGCAGCACCGCCCAAATTTCGACGGAATCAAAGGCTTTCTCATAGTCCACATACGCCAGACATAGTGACAAATTGTACTCTTCGGACTTCTGTACAATTTGCCGAAGGGTATGTATGTGGTCTATGGTGCTAAAGCCCTTTCGGAAACCGGCTTGTTCGGGAGACTGGAAGTCGTCAAGTCTGCGCGCAAGACGATTCGTAATGACTCTCGAAAACAGCACGTAGACGCGGCTCAGAAGGGAAATCGGTCTGTAGTTCTTCAAGAGAGCGTTGTCACCTTTCTTGAAGAACAAGACCACCGCACTTCTGCTCCACGCCTCCGGTGTAATGCCACCATGGAAGACGGAATTAAAGAGCCTCTGAAGGACTTCAAGTACCGGTTTTCCACCCGTTTTCAGAAGTTCCGCTGTAATTCCATCCTCGCCTGGGGCCTTACCGTTTTTAAGGTGCTGGAGAGCCATTCTAATCTCGCTCAGACTGACGTCCGGGATATCTTCGGAATAGTGTCGGATGAGACTTGCTCTTGGATCGTTACTCACACTTGCGTGTGGCTCCAACGATGACGTGTACAACTGCCCATAGAACCTCTCAATCTCACTCAAAATCTCATCAAAGTCTTCAGCTTTGACAGTTGGCTCTTTCTGGCAGACAGATCTCTGGCAAAGACTTTGGAGCCTTGGTTCCGCTCGATCGCTTCTTCAATACGAGCTGTATTGAAGTTGCGTAAGTCCCGCCGCATGCATTTGGAGATCTGTCTGTTCAGATGCCTGTATGCTGTCAAGTCTGTTGAAGAATGTAGCTTCATCTCCCGTCTAACAGGCATGAGATTAAGAGTGTGATCGGAGAGTTTTTGTGTTCTTCTGCGGCGGGTCTTGCAAAACTTAGCTCCGACCGCATGGACAGTTTCCACGAGCTTGTCATTCATATCGTCCACTTCATTGCAGTCTTCTAGGCACTGAAAACGGTTTTGTAACTCGAGCTGAAAGGTTTCGGGATTTTGGATTAGAGCACGAGGGGGACGGAGCGTTGACTTCATTAGACGAGTCCTCTCCAACTTAACATTTAGGTTCAGTGTGCCTCTAACCATTCGGTGATCGCTGCCGGTTTTGGCCCTCGCTATCACTGAGACATCACTGAACAGTTGTCGTCTGGTCGTCATAATGAAGTCAGTCTCATATTTTGTGGAACCGTCGGGGCTCGACCAGGTCCATTTCCTGTGGGGCTGTTTCTGGAAGAAAGAGTTCATCATAAAGAGTCCCTCTTTCTCCATGAAGTCGGCGAGCTGCTGGCCCCTTGGGTTCCGTTGCCCTATTCCAAATTTCTCTACCTTCAGCTCACCATTCTCTCTTGTGCCTAGTTTTGCATTGAAGTCTCCCATTAACACCGTATAGTGGGTTTCGGAGGAATGCATGGCTCTAGAGATATCCTCATACATTTCCTCCACCTCCTCATCGGGGTGTGCCGAGGTTGGTGCGTAAACCTGTATGACCTTCAGCGAATACCGTTTGGTGATTCTGAGTATAAGGTACACAACCCTCGTCGACACACTCCCGATCTTTACAACGTTGTTAACGAGAGACTTGTGGACGATAAATCCGACACCTCCTTGGGACAGATGGTCGCCCTCCCGGTGATAGAGCAAGTTGCCGGATTCGAGGATTACCGTGTCCTCCCCCTCTCTTCGGACTTCGGATAATCCTATAATATGCCAGCGCAACTTGTCCATCTGTTCTTCCAGCTCCACGATCTTCTCGTCAGTCCTCAGGGTGCGTGCGTTGTATGTTGCCAGGTCGAGTCGTCTAAGGTGGCAACCGAACCTCCACCGGAGATTCTTAGCACCCCCTGCCCCGCCGTTACCATGGTCGCCACCGTAGCCAGGAATAGCGGGGCCGCCGGGGACTGGGGGCCGTTTCTTTGTTACTGTCATTCATAGGGGGGTATTTGCCATAGTTGCCACGCTTGGCGAGCGGGTTGGCAACCGCAGTTTTTTTTTTTTATTGTTAGTTTGTTGTTATCAAGAAGATGCTGCTGCCCATCTCCTGCCTGTTTCCCTTTGTCGCCTTTTACGACACCCACGGGAGGATATGGGGTAGTGGATATTCTCGACCGCCACTACCCGGTTTTCGTAGTACATAAAAGAAGAATCATTAAAATCAGTTCAAATCATTAACTGTATAGGTCACCCGAAAATAACATGGAAACTCATAAATTATCTATCGAATATGAATGTGACAATTAGCTTCCTTTTTGTTCCATCAAAATTGGTCATCAAAACTGAGGTAATAACTGACCCTAATAATATCTTTGACATATTCAATCAATACTTTTCTACTTTTTTTCTATTGGAATAGCAAGTAAAATGTCATCTCACTTCTACAACACTCACAGAAATTTAATATCACAACTCTGTTTTCAATTACATCCTACCCTAGAACTTTTATTGTTTAAACCATGCACTAGGAATGAAAACAGAAAGTTTATTGATGATCTCGATTCTTACTATAATATAACCTAAAATGGTACATAATAAAGCTATAAAATGTAATATAATCCTAATTGTAGACCGTTTAACTGACTGCATATATTATTAACCTAAGGACTAATTCCTGAACTCATTTAAAGTAGCAAAAGTAAGTCCATTCTATAAATCAGGTTCCATAACCAATCCAGGCAATTATCGGCTGATTTTTGTACAAAATATGCCCTCTTAAATCCTGAAAAAGTACTACACATGAACGGTTGGCGACATATACTCGTTAAACTTCATTTTACAGGACAATTTCGTTAAAGATCTAAAAGTAATACGCTGGCTACGACACGAACCTACTTGTATAACTAGAATTCGATAAAATATTGACAACAAATAAATATTTCGGGAGTGGGTTTGTTCATCGAATTAAAAAAGGCTTTTGATAACTTAGGGAATAGATAGTGCAGCTGTGTTCGCACATACATTCGAGCACTATTATCGTGTCTTGTGCAGATGGCTAGTCTCCGTTGAGGCTAGCCGTCGTGACCAAAATTTGGTCTGGAGGACATTATTAAAATTTCGGAGAAATTGTTTTACGAGATCGGCGTGTCACGGTACATCTTAGTGC